TCAGAATGACTCTGGCATACAAAAGACAAAGAATATAACCGGGAATTTTCTCTCTTAACCTGGTTCCAATTGAGGAATACTGTCATTTATAGGTGAAATAAAAAAAACCCAGCTGGGCACAGTGGTTTGGGAGGCTGAGGCAGGAGGATCACGAATTCAGGGAGGAGTGCAGTGCTTGAGGGAGCCCCCTTTTGGGGTCTCACACTCTTAAAGGAAACTTTGTGAACAGTATATGGTATCAGTCTGGTGGGCTCCTCTCAATCAAGGTGCATAGGGTGCTTTTGTCAGGATCTCTGGGTTGATGTTATCTAGTCAATAGACAATGTTTGGAATGCACCCTTATCATAGGTCTCTGGCAATATTTTTCCCCTGGTTTTTAACTTTTTGGGGTACTTTGGATTGGACGGAGGGACCCTTTCCCACTGAGCTGCATCTCTAACCGTTTTTGAGACAGGTTCTCGCTATGTTTCTGAGGCTAGTGTTGAACTTGTGTTCCTCCTTCCTCAGATTCCTGAGTTATTGGGATTACAGGTATGTGCCACTATGCTTGGCATCCTTGGTTTTATTTAATGTATAGAAAATACTGTGTGTAAGCTAGCAAAGTATGTGGGTATTCATTAACTGGACTCATACTCCAAGATTCAAGGGCTTTTTTTTTTGGGGGGGGAGGGTACTGGGGATGGAACTCAGTGGCACTCAGCCCCTGAGCTACATTCCCACCCCTATTTTGTATTTTGTTTAGATAGTGTCTCACTGAGTTGCTTAGTGCCTCACCATTGCTGAGGCTGGCTTTGAACTCGCAATTCTCTTGTCTCAGCCTCCCAATCATGAGCTTTTAAAGAATCTGTCTGGGGGAAAAGAGGCCTGGGGAGTAAGGTGAGCATGTTCATGGAGCATCCTAAATTTATAGCCAGCTGTCTTTGCCTTTCCTGTACATGCTTTTTACTTATCCTTATTTCTTCTATCCTACCTTAGAAGTAGACAGATCCTGATATCTTTCTAGCTGTGTGATTCTGCATAAACCAATTTATCTATTCAAATTGTCTGATTCCTTATTTAAAATTAGGGATAGTAATGTATCTACAAAGGTTGCAGCCAGAATTGAAGAACATGATAGGATCTTGAGTTCAAAGCCAGCCTCAGCAATGGCTAGACACTAAGCAATTCAGTGAGACCCTGTCTCTAAATAAAATAAAAAAATAGGGCTGGGGATGTGGCCCAKTAGTTGAGTACCCCTGAGTTCAATCCCTGGTACCAAAAAGAAACAAGGAAAAAAACAAACTGTTATTTGGAAACACATTAAATGACAAACATTAAGCACATTAAGAACAGCTTATAAAGTTTTCAAGTAAGGATATTCAGAAGAATCCTTTGAGTCTCTGAGTTTTAAAGCTAAAAAGAACCATGGATTTTTGTAGGTAAATAAGCCAAGGTCATAGAGAAGTTTAACAGCCTTACCTTGGTCAGAAAGCAAGACAAATGCAGGCTCAGATTTGAGTTCAAGTTTGGGCACTGCCACCACCTACCTGTGCGTCCTTGAGCAAGCTATTTACCTTCTCTGTACCTCATTGGCTCATCTGCAAAATTCTATTCTTTCAGGCCTTAGTCTTGTGATTCCCGGCCCATCTCCTACACTGGTGACTTACAAGTGTATTCTATACTGAATTGATAATTGTTAAATACAATGTTTTAAATTATACTAATTTGTTTGATATGCTCACAATTAACATGGTAACCCCTTGTATACAAAACAAAGCCAACAACTATAAAAGTAGAGTTGGGCCAGCTGGCAGCAGAGGCAGGGGCAGCATATGAGAAATCCACAATAGCTAAATAACTCTTTGAACTCAAATTTCATTCCAAAATAAGACACTTTCAGAAATAAATCTGGTTCCCAATTTCATCAGTAAAGTGGAATCAGGATGCTCTCACTCGTATAGAGTGGGAATCAGTCCATTTGCCAAGTCCAGGCCTCTCTGACAAGCTAATTAAAAGATTCCAGAAGTGTCATGGACCTAGAAAGGAAGTCCTTGTGACGGATTGAATACATAAAGGCTTGGAAAACTTTCCAACCTTGGAAGTGACTGGTGGGTAGAAAGCCTTTTGCCTAAGAATCTCTTTTCCAGCTAGGGCCTGGCTGGGGCCGACTCTGAGAGCTCAGCGCCACCTAGTGGTTCTTAGGCAAATAACGGCTGGGTAGGGAGGGGCTCCAGTGGCGTACTCCCTAAGGACTTATTTCATGTTATTTGCATGTTCATTCCTAGGTGTGTATCTACACATGCACTTCAATGAACACTCTATTTTAGAATAATTTTAGGTTTACTGAAAAGTTACAAAGATAGAGTACTCCTGTGTACTCACCTACATTGCCTGTTGTTAACATCTTATTAACATGGTTAATTTCTCACCTCCAAGCGCTGTTGCACTACTAGTTATTAAACTCCCAACTGTATTTGGATTTCACCTTTCCACTTGTGTCCTTTATCTGGTCCAAGATCCTCTCTATGAAGCCACCTGACATATACTTACCATATTTGTCTGCTCTGGTTTGGGACAATTTCTTAAAAAAAAAAAAAAAAAAAAAAAGATCCTGGCAGTACTGGTCAGATATTTTGTAGAACACGGAGTAGCACAGTGGTGAAATACCTTTGTCATCACATCATATCAGGGACCCATGACATCACTGATGATAAATCAGGATCACCTGGCCAAGGTAGTATTTGCCAGATTTCTCTACTGATTGATTTTCTTCTTTATTCCTTAGAAGCAAGTAACAAAGTTGAGCCCACATTTAAGGTGGGAAAAGGAATGAAATCCACTTTCTAAAGCAGAAAAGGACCAAATAAGTTGTTTGAAATTCTTCTGGAAGGAAGGTTTGTCTGTTCTCCCACACTTTTCTATTCAATCTTTATTTACATCAGCATAAATGCATGGATATTTGTTAGGGGTCACAACTCAATACTATGTAATTTATTCTGTAACTCAAATTGCAGCTGTCACTACTAGTAACTTTTTCAGGCTGCTCCTGTGGCCTTTGACCTGCCATCTTCCTTTTTGTTTCTCGGAGCATTTCCTTTGCATATTTTTCACTGAAAGAAAAGGAAATTACACAGTATTTTAATGTGTCTTTGAAACATAGTTAAAAGAATATACACTCTTTTTTATTATTTCGTGATTTTTATAAATGAAACTGCCATTACCATATTTTAAGTGCTGGGGAGTTTAGTCCAGGGGTAGAATGTTTGCTTAGCATACTGAAAGCCTTGGATTTGATCCTCAGCACTGCAAAGAAGAAAAAACTTTTTTTTTTTTTTTTTTTTTTAGTTATGTAGTATTTACCAGATACATGGCAGAATACCTTAAAAACAGCTGTTTGGAATCAGACTATGTGTCCTTGCTTCTACACTGAATCTTCCTAAACCTCAAGCTTCTCATCTGTAATCTAGGGGAAATAATAGTATTTTTTTTCTTTTATGTGACTGTGTGCGTGTGTGTGTTGCTGGGGATTGAACCTAGGTCCTTGTGCATGCGAGGCAAGCACTCTACCAACTGAGCTGTAGCCCAGCCCTAAAAATGTTTTTGACGGGCTTGCTTCTGTGAGGACTTCAAAGGGCAACATAGAATAAAGATCAAGGACCCTGGAAATAGTCTGGCCCTGCCACTGCTTAGTTGTGAAGCCCTGGGCAAATTACTCAATTCTCTGTGCCTTAGGTTCCTCTATAAAATGGAGGTGGCAGAGAGGACTTGGCTTGGTGTAGGACCAAATGTGTTCAGTGGTGCTGTTTGGCCAATACAGGTGCTCAGCATCAGCTATTATAATTGACCCCAAAAGAACCTCTAGGGTAAGGGTTATAATCTAAAATTAATATTATAATCTTGTGTCCTTAGCTCAGTGACACATGTATGGTGGTGAAGCATTTACTAACCCTGTGTAAACACAGCTAATATCATTACCACTACTGACGTGGCAAATGTGTGACAGAGCGTGGTACACTCAAACCACTATACAAATATAAACAAAAGCAGAACTATACCTTCAAATTATCCAGAGTTCAAATACCACCTAGAATTCAGCATTCTACAGAAAGGAACTTATGGGAACTTGGATTGTGATTGAGTAATGTACTCCTCTCCAATGCATATAAGAGGTACAGGTGTCAAGTTTGGCCAACAACACCTGACCTATTTCCTTTGTGTGGCTGTGGTAGACACCCTTAGGATTGCTTCTTTCTTGGCAGTGGAAAGAATTTGGGTCCTGTAGTAAGACAGAACAGAAGTCTGGCCCAGTCACAGACTAGTTGTTTCATCTCAGGCAAACTTTTCTTCCTCCCTGTGTTCATTTCCACAGTCCAAAACTGAGTTTCCCTATGTTGCAGGATTTGTACATGTGATGTGTGGTCCTTGGGATCAAAGGTAGGGCCTCATATATACCAGGCCAGCACTCTACCACTTAGCTCTAGCCCCAGGTCCATACTGCAGGAGTATTACATGAGAAAATACATGGAAAAGCTTTTAGTCCAGTCTGCCAGGAAAAGGTATGCTGTGTTTCTTTATTTCCTTTCTCCCTCCAAATTCAATACACTGAAGTCTCTGGATCTATACTTGTCCTATATGTGTAGTCTTGTTTCATTCCATTGTTTTATGGCTTTAGAAGATTACTCTGGGAATCTCACTTAGAAAAAGATGTCCTACCCCCTGGGCACCAACAGGAAAGAGTTCAAAGAATTAAGTTTGCATAACTAAGTCTGTGGTTTTCAAATTCATACTTTATGAACAGTTGGTTCACATGAAATCTCTTTTAGAACCTTAATGTAAAGAAAAAAGATTAAAGACATTTTATTAGCATTCCTTTATATTTTCACACCTATACTTTTATAACAATCATGAAAACAATATTCAGAACAATTGATGCTTTGATGACACATATCAGAAATCTGGCATTAAAGATGGCTGTTGCAGACTTATCAACCTCAGCATTCAGCTCTGCCTTTTGATTGCACAGAATCAATGATTTGTGATTTACACAGAAAATAACTTAATATCTTAACCATAGCTCTTTGTTAAAAGGAGCTCAACCAATGCTCCTCTTTTATCATGCAGGGCAATATACACAGCTAAAAACCACTGAGGGCACACATGCGACATGCTACACTTGTACCTGCTACCAAACAAGCAGAATTCTCAGTGAGATCTGGTTTGCATATGCCACCTCTCAGCACTGTACACAAGATAGACCTTTTGTACAAATTTACATGACAATAAAAATCACAGGGGTGACACATTTAAGGGATATTAAATAGGCATGGAAATGACAAATGGTTTACACTGAGAACAGAATGAGTTACTTGACAGCCAAGGTGGGGATTGGTTAGTGTCTATCACTGGAGTACCTGGACTCATCTACCTCCATGCTCTGCTTATTGCCAGACATTCCTCTGCTCTCCTGGGATTCAGGTGAAATGCCCTTCTAACCCCCTCTGGAGAAAGGCTGCCTCCTCCTCAGCTGCCTCCTTATCCTTTATCAGTGCCAGTAACTGCAGTAAGCCTGGAGCTGGACCATGCTCTGGCAGATCAAGCTGTCTTCGAACTGTTCTGTGAATCGCCCCAGCGATGATTTGCTCTAGTCGGGCCTGATTCACATCGCCCTTCTCTATTGCTCCTCTCTGTACCAGTTTCTGTAATAAAGGCTCTAGCCTTAGTACATAAGCAGACAACTTTTCTTTATCCTTCTGGTAAGTGTTTAGATATTTGACCTGCAACTCCCTAGGATTATCAGTAACCCCAAATACTGTCTCAAGAGCCTGAAGGCATTCATGGGCTTTAATTAAAGGATTATTTATCTTGAGGATACGAATAATATCAAATGCTGGGCCACGAAGGCTCTCTATCAATCGCCTTCTCTTTTCTGTATCAGATACCTGCCATGTCTTCATCATCTGAGTAGTATGAAACAGCCATGATCCAAATTCTTCTTCCCCTGGTTCTGGAGGATCCCTGCCTGAGAACAGTCTCAATTTTTTATAATTTAGGTATTGGAGGGCAGGCTGAAGAGCCTCATCTAATGCCTGTGTCAACATAGCTGCCTGCATTTCAGGGATCATGCCCTGGTCAAAAGGGTTATGTCCACACCCAAGAACTCTGGTCAACTCACCCACTGTCATGCCCTCTTCTTCTAAAAACTCATTTAATTTCCTTAAAAATTCATTATCCGGTTCTGGCGGCTTAAAGATCACTCTCCACACACCCCCTCTCCCCGGTATCTCCTTAGGAACCATATCATGACTTGTCTCCTCAGTAAGGCCTATTAAGGCTACGTTCCTGTTCTCATCCCTTCTGAACATCCTCCCAAGCAGTCTGTACTCCCCCAAAGGAGCCAGACCAGCCCGTAGAGCCTCCTCGATTTCGGCCACACCACAGGTCTGGGGGATGCCGGTAATCAATAGCGCTTTCCGAGGGTTCATATCCATCCCCCTGCACCAGTCTTCTAAAAGCCTCAGGGCCATCGTGCCCGAAATCACAGATTTAAGTTCTAATTCTTCCGAAGCGCGTGTGCCCACCGCAATTCTCAGTAATCCTGCGCAGTTCCCCACGCAGGTCTGGTCAACGTGAGGAGGTCCAGCAGCCTGCGGGGATAGGAGCCAGATCAGTTAGGGGTGTCTGCGTCTGGGGCCCAAGTGCAGGTCCCCGCGAGCCCGCTGCCGTGCTCTGCKGCAAGCAGCCCCTCCCTTCTCCCGCCTCTCCCGCCCCTCTGGGCCAGTGAAGCTGCTCGCCATCCCACCTGCCCTCACCGTTATCTACTGCGATGCCTGCGCCGTCTGCGGGGGGCCGAGACGCTAGGCCCGCTCCCGACCGGGAGCAGGAGTCCGGGCGTGCTCGGTTCTGACCGACGCTCGGGAGGCGCGCCGGCCACCGGCAGTGGATGCCGAACCGCCCTGCCCTGCTCTCCGCAGCGAGGAGTGGCGAGGCGCGACGAGGCGCTCAGTTGTGACCTAGGCACCGCGGAGGAGACGCGGAGCACGCGAGGTGCCAGACCAGACCCTCGCCCTCCTGCGCCGCGGTGTCAGCCTTGGACCAGCTGCGGCTGTCTAGGGTGCACTCTGGCAGGTCGTGCGGCGCGCGGAGGCGCACTGACATCACGAAGACGGGCCTGGGGAGGCGGGCACGCGCGCTTCCGGCCCAAGCCGGAAGCCCCAACTGCGGCGGCATCCGGGACGGCGGGCGGGAGGGCCACCCGGGACAGGAAGGTGAGAGCCGGGACCTGCTCAGCTTTGCAGGCTGTCTCGGACGGCGGCCGCTGCTGGGCGCCGGACTCGCGGCGCTGCAGGTTGGCGAGGCACGCCTGGCGCTGCCTGTGCAGCCCGGGAGCGGCGGGCGGGCGAGAGCTGCAGGGGGCGGGGCCGACGCCAGGGAGGCCCCAGTGGCCCGGGAGCCTCCCGGCCGGCCGGGTGACCAGCCCTGCTCTGCCCGAGGCGGCAGGGGCCGGGCCGCCGCGTGACTACCCGTAGTCACGCTGTACTTAATCACTGTTAGCTTGTGCTCCAGGCTGGCGGCGCTCACCTTTCTCCCCGAACCGGGTGACCCAGGGAATTTCTTTTATGGTGGCTTGTTCTGAAATGCCAAAACCACCCGATTATTCAGAACTGAGTGACTCTTTAACGCTTGCCGTGGGAACAGGAAGATTTTCGGGACCACTGTAAGTGTTTAAGAGTTACTGTCGTAACTTGGGGGCTCCGATGTTGGCATAATCTGTAGAACCCAATTTTCAGATTTGAAGCAATACTGTTAAGCTAGAAAGCATTTCAACTGTAAAAGTGAAATGTCCCGTAGGAAATTGGCTTACTTAGAGTTTCTGAAGTGAAGGTGTACAGGACCTATTTAAGCAGATGTAATTATTTATTTATTATGTGGAATTCACATAAAAAGCATGTTTTTTACCTGCTCGTTACTACATAGAACAGCCACCTGTAGGTTATGTACATTTCTTATAAAATTTATTTTGAATATTAGTGGGGTATTTTAGAGCTCTTGGAAATAAAGCAAATACTTTTGAAATAGTTGCCATAGAAGCATTACTAGACCCTAACTGTTTTTTCATTTTTTACTTCGAAGGCACAGAGCATGGAGAATGATGAACTTCCGTCAGCGGATGGGGTGGATCGGAGTGGGGCTGTATCTGTTAGCAAGTGCAGCAGCATTTTACTATGTTTTTGAAATCAATGAGACTTACAACAGGCTGGCTTTGGAGCACATTCAACAGCACCCAGAGGAGCCTGGTGAAGGAACCACATGGACACACTCCTTGAAAGTTCGCTTACTCTCCCTGCCTTTTTGGTTGTGGACAATTATTTTTCTGATACCTTACTTACAGATGTTTTTGTTCCTTTATTCTTGTACAAGAGCTGATCCCAAAACTGTGGGCTACTGTATCATCCCCATATGCTTGGCAGTTATTTGCAATCGCCACCAAGCATTTGTCAAGGCTTCTAATCAGATCAGCAGACTACAACTGATTGACACATAAAATCAGTCATTGGTTTTTCTTTATGATTATGAAACTGCCAGTACATTATGGAGTCTGATCACAAGAATGCGATTTCTTCACAGATCTCAGGAAGTTGTGGTGCGACAGAGGCTTTTTAAAAATGTGACTAAGGGACGATCTTTATCTGAATAACAATGATTTTTTTAGGTAAAGCCTGAGATATAGTACTACAGAATCATGTTGATGACTTCAGGTTTTGCAAGTAAAATTGTGTCTTGTTATTTGTATTCTTTAGAAACTTGAACTCATTTAGTACCTGAACTCATTTCTCTTATACTGTGCAACATAGTGACAATTGAGAAAATTTTCCTTTGGGGAAAAAAGTGAATATGAACATTTCCATTGTGTTAAGTGTAAAAAGGTCCAAATATGATCATAAAATTTAAATTTTATACAATTACATGGCTTGCTTTAAGATTCTTAAAACACACACTAATTCATCCTTCTGTAGATAAGCTTATGCTTGCTTGCTTTCAGTTTGAGGAAGTGGTATAAAACTATTGAAATAACTATGGTTTATTATTAATTTTGGTGTTAGGGATTGAACCCAGGGTCTGGTACTTGCAAGTACATATGCTGCTACTGGCTTATATCCCCCAGCTATGATGCCTGTCTTGATAAGCAGAATTTGTTCTGGATAATGGCTGGCTAAATCATTTAAAAATTTTGTTTTAGTTGTAGATGGACACGATATCTTTGTTTCTTTATTTTTATGTGGTGCTGAGGATCAAGCCCAGTGCCTCATACATGCGAGGTAAGCACACTCTACTGCAGCTACAACCCCAGCCCCGCTGGCTAAATCATTATTAATGCTCCTGGTTTTAAAAAAATTTGGGCTGAGCATAGTGGTGTGTATCTATAATCCCAGTAACCGGAAGAGTCAGACAAGACGATCACAAGTTCAAGACGATCACAAGTTCCAGGCCAGCCTCGGCAACTTAGGGAGGCCCTAAGCAATTTAGTGAGATCCTCATCTCAAAATTAAAAAAAAAAAAAAAAAAAGGCTGGGGATGTGGCTCAGTAGTAAAGCACTTCTGGATTCAATCTCCAGTATCAAAATAGTAATAATAATAATATCTACTTGGGAAGAGACTAAATGTTTTAAAGTCTAGAAATAACTTACACAGAAGATGTGAATAGGTGAAGGTAATTTAATCTAGTCCTTCAGATGTGATGCCCTTCTAAAGTCTACCAACCTGTCATCCTGATTTTTTCTCCCACAGCAATTGCATGAGGATGTGATTCTTGTACCTCCTCTCCTTTGCATTTATATTACCTTGTGTCAGGTACCAATACAAACAACTAAAGAAATAAAAGTTGTTTTTTTTTTCCCCCTGGGTAAGGTCAGGATATGTAGTTACGTTAACACTAGGACATATTTTACACTATTTTGGTAATAATCATAACCTTTTTTTTGGGTGCTTACTCTGAAGATCTGTTTGAAGAGCTTTCCATGAATTAACTCCTATATTACAACTCCTTTGAGATGGCAGTTATTTTCCACGTTTTACTGATGGCAAACTGAGGCAGGAGTTAACTAACTTGCCAAAATCTGGCATTCTGATAACTTTGTGTTTAACCGCTAAGCTATAGTGCTTTTCACAGATGATAAATGTTTTTAGTACTGTTACTGTTTGCCCAGTCATGCCAAAGAATGGAAATGGCAATATTAGTGAGAAAAGTTTTCTCAGTTTATATAAGCTACTGAAAATAAAGTTTCTTAGCAATTTGACCTTTATGTCACATTTGAGCCACAAGGAAGGTTGAGCATTCCACAGCAAACTTTTATCTAAAAGATAAATCAGGTACCTTTGTAACTCAGAAGCACCAGAATCTCTCTTACCACCTCCAAAGGTCCAGTTACTGATGTTTCTTGACATAATACACTCAATCCAAACAATCGGCAGTTGGAAATACCTATTAGATAATAAAAATCTAGCATCTTTTCTTTTTGCAGTACTGGGCTTGAACATTTGCATATATTGAGTACTCAGTATGCATGCTGCAGCCACTGTTTTCTGTTTCTTCACTTATAATCTTATGAGGCAGGTATTGCATTGGTAGTAATACCATTTACAGAGGAGGAAATTTGATGCACATAGGAATCAATAATCTGTCCATGGTCACACAGCAAGTTAAGTGGAAAGAGTCAGGATTTGAATCCAGGATGTTTACATTCAGATCTCCAGGTTTTTAATCATTCCACTTAACTACTTCTCAAAAAAGGAAAATTTGAGGAAAATCATTGGGAAATTTCCTGCCTTATTAATCTGGATGCAGTGTTAATTTGGAGATGACTTTAGAAAATTATTTCAATTGCTTTTTGTCTTATAAATGCTTTATGTACTGCCACTTGTGAAAAGGCAATTCCTTTTTATTGAAGTAGATTTTATCTAATTTTGGAATTTTAAGCTTTAGTAAGTAAATGTTCAGCCCATCTGTATCAACATATTGCCTTGATCACAGGAATATGAATTAATAGTAAGATTGGTGTAGTTTTTCCAAATATAATTACAAAATTCTAGATTACAGGGTTAGTCTGCTTTATTATTTAAGAATTTCAAAACATCTTTGGTAGGGTGAAAAGGAGGATTGAGGAAGAGGTTGAAATTAATAGATAGGAGACTTTGGAACCACAACCCCAGCCCCTAGATTATCCTTTATTTCTATTCACTTCACAATATGAAAGGCAATATGAAATCCTGAATACAGGATTATGTAGTGAGTTGGATGGTAAATAATATTAATTGCTGCAGGGATTTATTTGCTTCCAGATATGAGAAAAATAGAGCTATATTCCACAAGGATTTCATGTCATTTCATTTGCAACTACATCTGAGATGAAATGATCCTGAAACATGTCAGATATATATTTTTCAAAAGTACTAGTATAAGAAATAGATAATTGCAGAAATATGTAGTTCATGGTGCTTTAGTCAACATTTAAATATTCTGACTTTAAAATGACTTTAGGGATGGGGTTGTAGCTCAGTGGTACAGCACTTGCCTAGCACATGTGAAGCCCTGGGTTCGATCCTCAGCACCACATAAAAATAAATAAAATAAAGGTATAGTGTCCATCTACAACTGAAATTTTTCTTAAAAAAAAAAAAAAAAAAAAAAAAAAAGGTTCCCTAAGTTTAGAATTTGATTCTATTTCAAAGCCTTCACAATTAAACTTTTCTTTAGGGAAGTGGAGTCATGAGGTCAAGTGCTCACATGAGAGTGACTGCACCCATAAAATAACCAAACCAGTTTGTGTGTTCATCATGGATAGTGTTAATCTTTTTAATTAAGATTAAATGAGGGGCTAGGGCTGTAGCTCAGTGGCAGAGTATCTGCCTAGCATGAGTGAGACTGGGCTCTATCTTTAGCACTGCATAAAGATAAAATAAAGGCATTCTGTCCATATACAAGTAAAAAAAATTTTTTTAAATGATCAAATGATTTCCTTCTTGATGGACTTAACTTATCTCTAAATTTACTACAATATCTGGGGGCTGGGGATACAGCTCAGTTGGTAGGGTGCTTGCCCCACACGAACAAAGACAAAGACCTGGGTTCAATCCTCAGCAATACCACCAAAAAAAAAAAAAAAAAAAAATACCACAGTATCTCATGACTCATTTTTTTGCATCAAATATGTGCTATCACCTAATCAATTCTCCAACTTATAAAATTCCCATACAATTTTGGACCATGATTGGAAATCATCATGCATTAGTATTTGTTTTACTTTAAGGTAGTGAATAGGTATTAAAATAAGGCTGTATAGGGGCTGGGGTTGTAGCTCAGTGGTAGAGCACATGCCTAACATGCAAGGCATTGGGTTCAATTCTCAGCACCACATATAAATAAAGGAATAAATAAATAAAATAAAGGTCCATTGACAAAAAAATAAATAAATAAAGCTGTACCTTAGAAGTATCTGGGGAAGTCAAATCAAAGCACAACTCCTCATATAACAATGCCAGGGTCCCTTACCAACCAATTATATCTGATTTTGGGGGTGGACCCCAGCCAATCCTATTCTTAAAACTTTTCAAATGATTCCATTTGGGTTGAGAACCATTGGTTCAGTGTTTCTACGTAGCATTTACTAAAGACACAATGGTCAGTCAGAAGAGATTTGCTTGTCTTTGGAATAATTGTAGCAAAAAAAAAAATTTTTTTTTTTTTTTTGGTACTAGGGATTGAACTCAGGGGCACTCAACCACTGAGCCACATCCCCTGCCCTCTTTTGTATTTTATTTGGAGACAGGGTCTCACTGAGTTGTTTAGCATCTCGCTGGTACTGAGGCTGGCTTTAAATTCGTGATTCTCCTGTCTCAGTCTCCTTAACTGCTATGATTAATGTGGGCGCCACCGCGCCCTGATGCAGCAAATGTTCTGAAGGAAGTTCACCCCATCTATTTTAATTACAAATCTTTAGAGTTGTATTTTCTAATTTCAAATTCTCTGTGGTTTTCTAAAATATGCTTCTATCAGACTTCTGCCTCCCGTTACCAAACTGTTCTCAAGAGGTCACCAGTCACTAACTCCACCGTCAAGTCTTGGTTCTCAAATCATCTATCAGCAGTTCTTGGATACTGTGTCCTTGAGATACCTTCTTCAGTTGGTTTCTGAACCAGTAGAGCTTTAGTGATAATGGATATTCTTTGTGCTATTCAAATCAGTAGCTGCTAGCTAGATGAAGGAAGCTAATATGCTGAGGAACTGAATTTTAAACTTTATATTTATTTAAATAGTCATACGTGGCAAGTATTAAATGGTTCAGTTCTAGCCACTTTTGAATTCCTTATACCTGCTTCTGACTTCTTGGCTGGTTCCTTCTAAACGTTGGTGTATCCCAGTTCTCTTTTTTATACTTACTCCTTTGGTCATTTTATTTAACCTATCTTTCCCTAACCTTCTCTAGGTTGACTTATACTTCCTCTTTGACAAATATTTGGATGGAAAATGTGTTTTATTTGGGTGTGAAGGGGTTGCTTTTTATGTGAAATTGTATTCTTTGCCCTGAATTTACATGACAGAGTATTAAACTGTTAATGTGGCTGATCTGTGCTTATTAAGTTCAAAGCATGAGTTTTTAAGTTAAAAGTTATTATCCAGGTGTGGTGTCACAGGTGTTTTCCTGTGTAATCCCAGGGACTTGGAAGACTGAATCAGGAGTATTACAAGTTGGAGGCCAGCCTGGGAAACTTAGCAAGACTCTGTCCCAAAATAAAAGAGCTTGGGGTAAGGACTTTGGAAATCAAACCCCAGTATTGAAAAAAAAAAAAAATCTCACAATTTTTTTCTACATATAGGGAAAAAAAAAATATATATATATATATATATTAGCAGAGAACAGAAAGGCATAAAAGGAAAACTATACCTCTCTCCCTTAACTCCTAC